ACTCTATATCAACTATCAATCTATTATCAATGATTTAGTTAGATATTTGCTTTTGAATGGTGTTCTTCGTAAAAAACGTTTAGTGTCAATAACTCGAGTTGTTGTGAAAGACTTAATAATGGAATTATACTATTAAGTATTTACTAACACTTCCCCACTAAAGAAAACCAACTTATACGTGCTTAAATTTTTTGCAAATCTCGTTTGGAAGTTGTGATTTCAAATGGTGTATTGATCTAATTCATGTATTTGTGAGATTAAGTCATTTTTTTGGTTTATATAGAACTAGAATACATGCATTTACTTTTTGGAGGCCCCACCACAATCACTCAATATTGAGGGATTTACAATCTCTACTTTTGGGTTAATTGCATGGTTGGTCACTGAGATTATAAAAAACGTTCATGTTTGGTCACTGAAAATATTTAAATTCAATCTTGGTCACTCAAATTAGTTAAATGGTTCAAGTTTGGTCACTCTCCGTCCAACTCCGTTAAATATGTCTGATGTGGCAGTCAACTCTCAAAGTTGACCGTTAACTCGGTGACGTGGCAATTAAAAAATAATAAATAAAATAAATTTTAATCTTTTACCATTTCCAACTCATTTTCACAATAAAGTAAAATAAAAATAAAAAAATAAATGGCTTCTACCGTTTGGTCACACGCCGCAATCCCCTCCGGAAACAGAGAGAAAAAAAGAGGATAAAGAGGAAACAGAGCAGAGTTGCAGAGAGAGACTCTCATCGTCGCTGCCATGCAACCGCCCCGGCGAGAAAGAAACCCACAAACCAGCTGTTTGGTCGCCGAGAATCTTTGAACCCCAAAAGAAGGAAAGAATAGCAAGAGAAACACGCTTTCTCGGAAAATCCTTTCCTTCAGTGTGGCAACTGGCAAAATCTTCTGATTTTGACCAAAACCCCTCTGGGAACCCTCCTTCGTCGTCTTCGAGCTCCCAATTTTCTCACCCATTTTTATTTTCTCGGTAACCAAACAGGAGCCAAGTCGAGACAGGAGTCAAAAAAGTCAACCTCTCTGTTCTCCATGGTAATAATCTCTTCCCTGGCTTGAACTTTCTTTCTCGCGGAAATTTTCCGATTCCCATCAATTTTCTCGGTTGACAAACAAAAGGGGCAACTGGGTAATGGCTATTTGTCTTCCCTCCCAAATGGGTAAAGAATTTGGATGGAGATTGCTGACGGTGGTAGGGGTGACTTTTGCTCTGGCTGTGACATTCCAATTCCTCGAGCTCTCATACGGCATCGTTTTGCCGTCCTCCTCTGCGCCTTCTTCGCCCGATGAAGCTCCAGGACAAGGAATTGGTAGCGGTAGTATTAGTGTTAGTACCAATGTTGTTGTTGTAAACTCCACCACTCTGCATCCTGCTCTGGAGGAAGTGGCTGATAGCAATGGGTTTGTGTATGAAGGAATCATGAACAACAACAGGTCTTCCACAGAGTTTGATTTGTAGGCGTCGGGATCGGAGTCGCCGCCATCGTCGAGATCGTCGTAGTTCTCGAAATAGCCGCTGCCTTCGCCCGCTAAGTCTTCGTCGTCGTCGAAGTGATCGGAATCGGTGTAGTGCTGGGCGGGGGATGAGGAGGAGGAGGAGGAGTCTTCGAGGAAGGTGAGGTCCTCGTCGTCGTCGGTGGCGGAGGAGGAGGCTGAAGCCGGATTGGAGGCGAGGAGGAAGGCGGTGAGGGCGAGGAGGAGGAGGTAGCGGATCGACATTGTTGTTGTTTGAGTTGGTTTGACTTGGGATTTTGGGGAAAGAAGATCTGACTGACTGAGAGAGACTGAGAGAAATTTTCCCCATCTCTGGACTCCGGAGATATGCTAGAGGAACCATCACGACGTTGCCCAGGAGGGGAAGCTCATCCTCAGATTCCTCCTCCGCCGTGAACCCAGAAGCCATTTTTTATCCTCTTTTTTTCTCTCTGTTTCCAGAGGGGATTGCGGCGTGTGACCAAACGGTAGAAGCCATTTATAATAATTTTTTTATTTTTTTATTTTACTTTATTTTGAAAATGAGTTGGAAATGGTAAAAGATTAAAATTTATTTTATTTATTATTTTTTAATTGCCACATCACCGAGTTAACGGTCAACTTTGAGGGTTGACTGCCACATCAGACATATTTAACGGAGTTGGACGGAGAGTGACCAAACTTGAACCATTTAACTAATTTGAGTGACCAAGATTGGATTTAAATATTTTCAGTGACCAAACATGAACGTTTTTTGTAATCTCAGTGACCAACCATGCAATTAACCCCTCTACTTTTTGTTGAGATTCTTCACAATCACTCAATACTAACTTTTTTACCTTTGGAACAAAAACGCAATCTAAATTCTAAACCTCCAAACAAGATATTTACCTAATACATCAATTGATTCAATCCATCAAATGATAATACACTAATTGTCCCAATACATTAATTTGAAGAATCACAACTTCCAAACAACCTCCAAATATCACGTTCTTAACGACTTCCAGAAAGTCTTCGATCTGACTCCTAAAGAGAGAGAAGAAGAAGAAAGAGGAAAGAGAGGAGGGAAAAAGAAGGTAGAGAGAGGATGGATGGGTCATGAAGGTTAGATAAGTTTTATTTTGTGGGAAATAAATTTTTAATAAGTACATGTAAGACAAATTTTTAATTACTACCTTATTTGTATATATACATAGAAAACGTATAAAACGGCTCAAACTGGACGGACCCCTATCAGACCAATAAACCTCAAACTCCTTGGTTGACCGGCTCAATGACTTAAACCGGTTTGATAGCCTTTTCCCTTTGTAGTCTTGTAGATGCAAAAATAGAATATGAAACTTAGTATATCATTATTCAAGACATGTTATTGTTAGTACATTTTCCCCGATCTGTATCCTCCGACTACGACCCTTATTATAGTCCTAACTGCAGGGAAAGTACTGAAAAGCATGGATATTCATCCATCACTTTTTTCACACAACATATCTATGCCCATAGGCTGCAAGGCTCCATTCTTTTCCAGTGGGGCACCAAGAACCATCTCTCATTTTCATGCACACCTTCTCCCTTATCGTTGCATAGCTTAAATTGGGTTGTGCCTCTAGAATCCCGATAAGAATTCGGTTGTGGATGCCCTGGCGCTTCCTAACATCGACCTGCAAAGAAATAGGGAAAGATCTAAGAAGTTGCTTCGTGTAGAGGAGAGAGATGCTTTCCTTCAAACATTCTATTACAAGAAAAGTTCAACTTACCAGTTTCACAATTTGGTCATGAATAGAGTCTCCCCAATCATAAAAGTGATCATAAAACATAGTTGGTATCCCTCGATGTGTTAGTATGGATGCATAGCCATGTGGAATGCAACCAGAGCAGAGATCAAAGCCAATGGAAAGGCCAATGAGCCTGCAGGCTGCAGCAGGGGGAAACATGACGATTAGAAAGAATGTTGGTGGAAAGTTTTGAATGCACAGGACGCATAAATGCAGAAACTATAGACTATTCAACACTTGTGTTGAGTCTGTGTCATGGTTATCAAGCAACGTGACAGCCCTCGATGGCCACCGTCCTATTACACTTGGAGGCTTCCCTTGAGAGTTTCGAAGGCGCCTATGTTGACCCTTAACTGCTTCCTGTTTAGGACATTCATTCATCAATAGTGGAAATAAAGGATCACGGTTTGGAAGGAGGATCGTTTGCATTAAACTGTTGGATACCTCTATCATTTGGCACTAGTCATATTCCATACTAGTTTCTTATGGCTTCATATATCTTGCATAACAAAAACATATGAGAATACCTGAAGGATTCCTTTGATAGTTAGTGGTGGGAAACAGTGCAATTGCGGTTAACTGCACCGCAAAGTGTCCATATTAACCAACCGCGTCCGCACCTAGGAAGGTTAGCGGTTAACCGCTAATCGCAAAATTGTGGTTAAAGAGTGCACTGCGGTTACTGGCGTCACCAACCGATTTAATCGATGTATGGTGATTTACTGAGGTTTGACCGTCTGAGCCTCTGAGGAAGTCGAGCCTACCACTGCGTGCGCTGCGGCGATGGGCGTAGACCTCCAAACTCGAATCGAGCAGGTCAGATTTGCTCGGCGACAAGGGACGACGTTTTAGTATCTAGGACGGTTGTGTCGTCGCGGTTGGAGACTCTCAACTCTCAAGACGGCTCTCGAGGAGATGGACGAGTCGCTCTAGGGATTTCCATACGATGACACTCTGGGTCTGGAATGGTAGCGACATTGCAGTAGGGAACTAGGGATTTTGATTTGGGAAAGCTAAAGAGGAAAGAAAGACGTCGCAGACTCAGAGTGGGGGAACTGGGAATGCCAGAAGGGGCTGGGTCGAGTGTGCCCTGTGACGTGTGGGCAATGGGCTACTGGGCCTGGGGTGGGGTTTGTTTGTTGGGCTAGTCTGGAAATGATCTTAGGCTGGGTTGTGGTTAACACTGCGATTAGGTGTATTTGCGGTTTCGCTTGTGGTTAAACCACAAACCGCAAAACACTCAATATCTCCAACCGCGACCGCAAAATAGTCTATTTTTGCGGTTTTCGGTTTACCACTAACCACGTGGTTTCGATATGGTTAGCGGTTTAACCGCAAAACTATAACCAAATTTCCATCCCTATTGGTAGTGAAGTCAAATGCAGCTGAGAGCTGGCCCGTGCCATCAAATCCAGTGAATAATCCTTTGCCTGTGGCTATCTGAAGGGGGAATGTGCAGGAAAACAACCAATTAGGGAATCATGAAGCGCTCTGAGTATCAAATGTAGGATGAGCATAAAAATCACAAGTATACCTTGGTTGTACTCCAAGTAACTTCAATTATAGTTGCAAGAATCCCAATACTCCCCAACAACAAATAGTGGCTTGGCTCCTTCAATGTACTTTTTTCACATACTTAGCTGAATAGCTAAACTTGCAACGTTTTAGAATGCATTAAGTATCACTAGCCATAACATTGAATTAAGGTCTCTTACACAACTCAAAAGGAGATCATAAATACCTACCCTCTTGCGAAATCGAAACGAAAATATTCAAATCCACCATTGTTACACAACCAATGCAGCCAACCTATAATGTATTTCCTCACAAAGTGTTCTGAGTGGTCTATGTTTGGAACGCCATGGAAATTGTCGCCGGTGCTTTGATTTCCCTGGAGGAAGAAGTCAATGAAACAACAAAAACACTCATACCAGCTTGACTGAAAGGTTTGGAACTAAAGGCAAAGTGGATTCTTATGGTTGAGATATAGTCAGAAATGAGAATGCTAACATGAATTTAGTAGGATGAGTTTGGTGCTTTAGTTGACTCAATAACGGGTTCAATGCCAAATATGATGCATATAGCCGAGTTTGGTGCATTGGTACTCAATTTTTTATGCACATCACATGGTAAACAAACCGCAAACTACAGGCTGATGAAAATAAATTACCAATCCACCAGTACAGCTAGTAACAACCCGTTCATCCCATGACAATGTAATCCCATCATGGCGGTTGTACATCCCACCATGCCCTCTGGTAGTCCCAACTCGATGATTTACAACTATATCGGCCATTGGTTTCACTCTATGCTGCTTCATCTTTGTGAAGCAAAGCTTTCAATAGGTGCTCAGAACCATATGACGAGCATGGTAAAGGAAACCGTACCGGACATCATACCGGATTCCTTTCTGGTAGGGTATTTTGTGGTACGACCGTGATTCAACCGTTTCGTACCGGTAAATACCGTTTTTGTAATAATAAAATATATTTTTCTCAAAAAACCGTGTCGCCAAAATTAGGGTATCGTCTCGAAGTAATACCGGATGTATCGGAATATACCGGATAATAAATGAATAAATACAAGTAGTTAGAACTTATCCGATACTAAAAAAACTAATAAAAAATTAAAAATATTGAAAATTAATAAACCTTCCTCTTTTCACTTATCCGATCTCTCCTTCCTCATTTTCATTTTCCTTCTCTGACTTATCCTCTTCCTCTCCGTCTCTTTTCAATAACATCGTCGACTAGAGATTGATAGTGGCGTATCGAAAATGGGAGGAGATGGCAATTTTCCACCTGAATCTACCGTCTCCAAGCCTTCGCCGTCCAATCCCCGCTAACGATGATGAATCCCTCCAGATTTTGCTTGCCATGTCGTCGCATCGAGGAAGAGAAAATATGACAGCCAACCCCGGTGATTCGCGGAAGGGAGTTGGAGGGTCAATTAAACCAAAAAAGCACTGATCAAGGTGAAATTCAGCCTGCATGCTTGTTTTATTTTGATCTTCGCGATGTTCTAAATTCTGATTTCTTTTCTATTGGGTTTTCTGGCAACGCTGGTCGGCGGTGGAGATGGAGCAGTGGCGCGGTGCGGAGGTTCCAACTAGTCAACGATGTTTCATTGTCAAAAGCCTACCGTCGGTAGGATAAAAATCGGCCGGTATTTCGCGGCAGACTTGTTCGACCTAAACAGCCGGTCGATACGATATTTAAGCCACTAAACACATATTGTTTCGTTTCTGGTTTTTCCAGTCGAACCACCCGGTACGATTCGGTTCCCTGTTCCATGATGACGAGTTGAGTGAGTAAAGATTATGTGGAAGGTAACCTATTCAACACAAATGTCAGAACGTTAATAATCAAGCAGGAAATTTTTCACAAGCAACAAGCCTTGCTAATTCCTTCAAACCTTCGTATGCAAAAGAATTTGATGGTGGAGGCAACCAAGTTGAAGTAAACTCGAATTTCGCCATATCAGGTACTTTCTTCTCCAGATTTCTCCACCAGTCATGCTTGTGAGACTCCCAATTAAAAGCCTGTTTAATGATAGTTAAACTATCATTCAAAGCCGGAGACACATAGCTTTGCAATTATAATATTGATAAATAGTATATCCAACAACAACAAAATTGGGCGTTCTTAGACAAACTTCAAAAGGAACCTTACATGGAAAAGAACTTCCCTTCCATAACGAATCACTGCCCCTGAACACCATCAAAATTCATCATCATTTACAACCAACCATCACAAACTCAGGTGACAGATAGAAACTCAATCATTATTAACTACAATAGCTTACCAATTTCAGCTTTCTGATTACTTCCCTCAATTGACTTTCTCAACGAAAGAAAAAATGGAAATATAAAAAAATACTAAAATCGGGTTCAAAGTCGCTTTGACCTGGTCTAATTATGTTGGTTATCCATGAGTTTGAGTTCAATTGTCATGTTTAACCAACAAAAAAAGAGAGATAAGAAAACACTATAAAATATGAAACTCGGTCCCGATACAAAATTCAGCAACACAAAGCCAATTTGGTATGGATTTTCAGTAGCGGTCTTGGGACACTGTGGATGGATAGAAATTAGGATTCCACCAAGAGGTTTTGAGAAGGGTTGTGCATTATTGGGCGAATGCGAGGATTGTGCATAAAAGATATGATATGGATTTTCGGTAGCAGTCGTGGAAAATGATGGAAGATGACAACTTATGATTTTGTCGATAATTTTTCGAGATGAGTTGCGAATTGGTAGGCCAGGCGATGATTTGGGAAAAAGATCATAGACGAAATCCTAATGGATAATTGTTGCAACCGGGAAAGCAATGATTTACCATGAACAATAGATGTAAACCTAGCGAACAATAGCTAAACACAAAGTTTGTAGAATGGAGAGTGGGGTAAACGAAGCAACTTGGAACTTCCCCACTTGCAAGGAGGCGTGTGAGAGCTACTAATGAATAGTAACTTACAACATTGACTTTTATATATGAATATATAAATATGCAATTTAGAGATGATTAGGCATGTTCAGGGTCATTGTCAATGGGTCGAAATTATTAATATTCTTAATTCATGAGACCTCTGCAATTTTAACTACAAATACTCAATTTTATGCCTTTTGGATAACTTTTCGGCACTACTTTTGCTGCTACGTAACACTCAAGATAGCTTGAACTCCCATCAATCTTCCTGACTATTACATAACTAATTATCGTTGAACTTGCTTTTCCTGTTTACATGATTCGAGTTGGTGGACAGACACGAATCTATGGTGTAAATAAGCCTGCATTTGCAACTATAAGAGGATCCTCTCACCTGGGCAAGTTCTATTCCCCAAAGAAGTCCATCATATTGTTTGATACTTTTAAATAGGAAAACCACTGACGATTTAAGATCTTCAACTGGGTCATCGAATATTGTAACCTTTGACAATATGCTTTCAATTGTGATTTCTGATTCCTCCAAGTTTCATTCTACGGGTATAAAAAATGCCAGCATATACAAGTGTCTCTAGAGAAAGAACAACACAAATAACCTCAATTGATTTAGCAACAACTTTGTTAAATAATTTCATAAGGTTTTTCCGATATCTCCACCATTTGATTTATTGATCTCAAAACAAAGTTATGTTTTTGTTACAAGCCTTTTGTTTCAATCCTCCACCTAGGAGGTGTTTGCTTTCGGTCAAACATCAAGACGCAGCTGGACTTTCAAAACCTCCAGCAAGCTTTTTTGGTTCAATCCTGCAGCAAGCTTTTCAACAGTATGTGTTGTTATTCTATAATCCCCCGCCAATGAGTTTCTCGGCAATGAGAAACAATGCAGCCTTGCTAGGTTAGGGTGCTTGACACATTTTTCACTTCAATTCTGCAATACAGCCCTCATCAATTAACCAGCCTGTTTACAATGAAGCGTTCAATCCTGTCTCGTATTATCTGGGGAGTGGTGGCGTTTTCTTTAGATATTCTTTGGTTGTGTTCTTTCCACACCCTCATTTCCTACAAGGCTACTGCAGTTGAATGAACTACTAATTAGTACTAATTGATCATGCTCTATTGTATTTTCTTCCTAACCTCTATAAGTTCAATAAGGACGCCAAAGAAGTCACAATTTCACAGGTGTATGACAAATATAAGATTGATAAATACATATGGAATAAATATCAAATTCCAGCAAGTAAAACAAAACACTTCAAAATGGAATTACAACAAAGTTCAAGATGAATATATAATGAATCCTGTCTTCTATAATCCAGGGAGCAAAAATGGCAGTGACTCTTGCACCGTTGCACCCATTTACCTCATATTGACTACTAACTACCACTACAATATGCACTCATAAGCCTTAAATGAGGAGATACTTTAAGAAGGAAATTAATCCTTATGCTTGACTCTCTCTCTAATTCAAATTTCCTCTCCCTTCTCTCTAAAAACTCTATTATCTTTTCTTCAGGGCTGCCGCCGGCATCTCTAGGTGTCTGGTGGTGGCCCAAGCCTCCATTTTCGTTTTCGTTCATGCTTTATTTCAAGTTTCCTTGTGGGTTCTATGATCCCTCCTTTCCTTTCAAGCCCTTTGTGGCTTTTTTCCTGTTCCCTTTGTGGGTTCTTTCCTCAATCCTCTTCTATGGAGATGGATTTGTTTTGTTGTTGATCTAGTTGTTTTAGATCTGGGCTTGCTCTCTCGGGAATCTGGATTATGCAAATTGGGTGCCGCTACCAGATCTACAATGGTGGTCTTCCTCCAATTTGGTGGTTTCATCGCTTCTTGTGAATCCATCCACCGTCTTCCCCTCTGTCCTTCCTCGGCAGTTTGGATCTGTCTCGCAGGTGCTCGACGGATTGTGGCTGACAGTGTCTTTTCCAGTTCTCGCGGGGTTGCGCTGCTGTTCCTCGAAGTCTTGTGGTCTTCTGCTCTCCTTGGTCGCGGTCTTCTCTGCCTCACTTTCCTTTGCCTTTCAGCTTGGAGCAGCTCGATTCACAACCCTTTCCACCACCATGTAATCTTGGTTTCAAGATTCACTGTGATGGGTCGTCTTTGAGCGGCTCCCAGGAGGCGGCAGATGGCGTTGCTGAGTTCAATCGTCATGGTCTTTGTTGTGTTGGACGAGCTGATTCTGTGCTTTTTTGTACTCTGATTGTTTTGGAAACAAGAGGACTTTCTGGGTGTGTTGTGTTCCTTTTTAGTGTTTGCTCCCCTGTTGGATTGTTTCACTTTGTGCTCTGCTCTTTGATGTTTACCTATCAAGCATGATTGGATTCAATCTGTTGCTTTGGGGTGGCTCCTATGTTTTGGATCCAACTATTTCTGTTTGTCCCTCTTGTAACCGATTTTTCAGAGTAAATGCAAGTATATCCCTTGGTAAAAAAAAAACGATTCATCGAATTCATCAAATGGATTGTCAAAAAAAAAAATCATCAAATGGATGTTTTCATATTCATACATTTTTATCGTTTTAATTAACCGACTTCTCTTTGACTATTTTGTATAGTTTTCGTATTGATTGTTTTGTATTAAATTATAGGTGTGCAATATAAAGTAACTTAGCTCGAAAGACACCATCAAGTTTAATGTATGTTTTTTGGGGTCTTTTTCCACTCTTTTCCTTTCCCTCGACATTTTACTTGCTGGGAATGTTTGTGCATCCACTATTCCTGCAACTCGCATGTAACTAGACATGCCATTGCCTAAACATTTTTCGCATTGGATTCATAGGTGTTGATATATTTCCTTCCGCGTAGCCGTAGCTAGAGGTGGCAATTAGGATCCAAATTCATGAATCCAATCCAATCCATCCACCAAATTATCCACCTAATCCAATCCATTTGGATTGGTGGATTCATGGATCAATCCATGGATCCAAATGACAAATTACGATTTGGTACCTACATTTTTTATATTTTACATTTTGGTACCTAAAATTTATATTTTTATACGAAAATATCATTGGGAAATTACATTTTGGTACCTAAAACTTTACATTATGACATTTTAGTACCAAAACTTTTCAAATTTTACATTTTGGTCCAAGCCTTGGATGTCATTTGGATTCATGAATCAATCCACCAATCTATTTGATCCAATCCATGAATCCACCAATCCATTGGATCCAATCCATTTGATCCATGGATCCACCAATCCAATCCACGAATCCGATCCAATTGCCACCTCTAGCCGTATCTATTGATTCCAGTGACGTATAATTCTTAACACGTGCGGCGACGCCTTTCGAAACAATTGCCGAGTTTGCCGCCACGAATGGATTTCTGTTGCCGCAGGAGCGGGGCTAGAAGCAAATCGGTTTGATGTCTTTTCTTCTTCCGCCGCGGCATCGCTCCTTCTTTACATGGCTCCTGGATTGCACGCGGGAGAGAAGCCTCGCGAGGGGAAGAGCCGTTCACGCCCAGGTCGTCAAGAACGGCTCCTCAGATTCCTGCGTCTACCTCGCCAACAGTCTAGTCAATTTCTATTCCAAGTGCGGACATCTAGCGAAAGCCCACATCGTGTTCGACGAAATTCCTCACAGAGACGTGGTGTCGTGGAATTCCCTCATCAGTGCCTACTCTCAGATGGGTTCCTCTGGGGCTAGTTCCGTCATGGAGCTCTTTCATCGCATGAGGTGGGAGGACACTTGTTTCCCGGATACTCGTACTTTCGCAGGCCTTTTCACCGCTGCTTCGAACTCGTCGGAAGGGGTTTTCCTTGGAAAGCAAGCACAGGCGCTCGCTGTGCAAACGGCAATCATCGAAGACGTCTTCGTCGGGAGCTCACTGCTGAACATGTACTGTAAAGCGGGTCTTGTCTCAGAAGCACGTAAAGTGTTCGACGGAATGCCCGAGAGAAACGCTGTTTCTTGGGCTACCATGGTTTCTGGGTACGCAAGCGAACGTCTGGTCGAGCAGAGTTTGGAAATTTTCGAATCTATGCGGAGGGAAGCACCGCAGTTGAATGAGTTTGTCTTTACTAGTCTAGTTAGCGCTTTCTCTGCTCCAGAATGGCTTGACAATGGCAAGACTCTGCATTCTATTGCGGCAAAGAATGGACTCTTGGCCTTTGTTTCAGTCTCGAATGCCATCGTCACAATGTACGCCAAATGTGGGAGCTTGGAGGGTTCATCGCAAATGTTTGAGTCCTTAAACGATAAGGATTCCATCACTTGGTCCGCAATGATCACTGGCTTTACCCAAAATGGGGGATTTCAGAA